GCAGGGGCTGCCCAGGGAGCTGCTGCAGTCTCATCCCTGGAGGTGTGCAGGGAATTCCTGGATGTGGCACTCAGAGCTCTGGGCTGGGGACAAGGTGGGGATCAGACACAGGTTGGACTCCAGGCTGGAAAAGCTGGGAGGGCTTTTCGAATGTTGATGTTTCCATGATTCTGAGATCCTTTTTCTCCACTGCTCTTGTAGCCAAGAACCCCCATGTTTCCTTGTTGGAGCTGGCTCAATCCAGCAGGATCTCCAGGGCAGGAGATGCTGGTCCAGCCCATCTCCAGCCAAGGTGTCAGCCTTTTCGGTGTGCCAACCTCTGTCGTCCCCTTTGTCCTGCCAGGAGCCATCGAGCTGGATCTGAACCGCTTCCCCCGGGGGGCCAAGACGTCCAAGCAGTGCAGCCTGGAGATGGTGACCAACGAGGCCGAGCTGCCCATGATCTCCATCTTCAAGCAGAAGCGGGTCAAGGGCTGGTGGCCCTTCGTGGCCAGGGACGAGAACGATGAGCTGGAGATCACCGTAAGGACGGGGAAGAGGGAGGGTTTGCTCCCCGGGGACCGCACTCTTTGTGGACACCCTACATCCCCCCACATGGCTTTGTTCCCTTGGAACCCTTCTGGCCTGGGGGGTGGAGGTGGGAGCACCTCCCAGGCCTCAGCACAGCTCTCTGCTCACTGCAGGGCAAAGTCGAGGCCGAGCTGCACCTTCTGACGGCAGAGGAGGCCGAGAAATCCCCCGCTGGGCTGGCTCGAAATGAGCCTGATCCCCTGGAGAAACCCAAGTGAGAAGAAGAAGCCTCTCTGCAGCAGGGACCTGGGGTTGTGGGCTTTTACTCCCACCTGGAGTGCTGCATCCAGCTCCAAGCCTCAAAACAGGAATGACATGGACCTGTTGGAAAGGGGCTAGAGGAGGCCCCGGAGCTGCTCCAGGGCTGGAGCCCCTCTGCCATGGAGCCAGGCTGGCAGAGCTGGGGGTGCTCACCTGGAGAAGGATCCAGGGAGAGCTCAGAGCCCCTTGCAGGGCCCAAAGGGGCTCCAGGAGAGCTGGGGAGGGACTGGGGACAAGGGCTGGAGGGCCAGGAGCCAGGGAATGGCTGCCAGTGGCAGAGGGCAGGGCTGGATGGGATTTGGGGCAGGAATTGTTCCCTGGCAGGGTGGGCAGGCCCTGGCACAGGGTGCCCAGAGCAGCTGGGGCTGCCCCTGGATCCCTGGCAGTGCCCAAGGCCAGGCTGGACACTGGGGCTTGGAGCAGCCTGGGACAGTGGGAGGTTCCTGTCCATGCCAGGGGGTGGAACAAGATGAGTTTCAAGGTGTGTGAACCCCTTTTCCACACTGATGAACTAACGATGGGTGTTTGGTTCCCCTGCAGCCGCCCAGACACGTCGTTCATCTGGTTCCTGAACCCTCTCAAGTCCATCAAATACCTCATCTGCACCCGCTACAAGTGGCTCATCATCAAGATCGTGCTGGCCCTGCTGCTCCTCATCATGGTGGCCCTGTTCCTCTACAGCATGCCGGGATACATGGTCAAGAAGCTGCTGGGAGCATGAGGGGCGAGAGTCTCTCCTGCATCCCCAGCCCTTTGCACAACCTTCCCAGCTCCATGTCCCCATGTCTTCTCCTCCCCGTGACCTCTGGGCAGCCCTGGGGGGCATCTCCTCCCTGCTGCTGCTGCTGCCGGGTCTCCTCTTTGCATTCCCTCTCTGTGGGTCCCATTCAGGCTTTAATCCCAGGGAAATGGGGCGGGAGCAGGGCACGGATCTCCAGACCCTGCATCCCGCACCGGCGCTGGGAGAGGCGCCCAGCTGGCTCCTGTGGGAGCCTCCGAGGCCTCTGCCCACTGGGGTCATGGTTGGTGCCTTCCTGGGAATCAGGGGAAGGAGAGGGGAGCTGGGGCTGCATCACTTGGATGATTGTGGGAGTGCTCCAGAAAGGTTCCTTGGAGGGATGTTCAGGATCCAGCAGGGAGCTGGGATGGAGCAGCTGAGGACGTGCCAGCCCCACCAGAGTGAGGGCACAGAGCATCCCCAGTGCCTGTCCCCCGCTGCCAGCACCGTCCCTGCTCCGCTCAGAGCTCTGGAGGTCACATTCCCTGGCACGGGGGTCTGTCCCACCTCAGGAATGCTGGGCACGGTGCCCCAGCAGGCCCCGCAGAGAGCCCTGGGGTGGGCCAGGGGCAGACCCTGCCCTTTCCTCCCACGGCTCCAGCGGAGACCGGGACATGTCCCACAGCTCAGATGTCTTCCCAAGGTCGCCCACCCAGAGGTGGCTGTGGCTGGACATCCCCAGGGCTCACAGCTCCCCTGGCACTGTGCGAGCTCCTGGTGTCCCTCTGGATTCTCCGTGTATTTTGTTTGGCTTGGTGATTTTTGTGGCCGGAGTCCTTCTGGCCGTGTGTCCTCGGGAAGGGCTCTTTCCTCGGCTCTCCGCGATCTCCAGCTGCTGCAGAGCCGCCTTTCTCAGCTCCCGGTGTGCAAGACCCCCACTGAAGAACTGAGGACATCTCAGAGATGTTTTAATGAGGATATTACTATTCCGATCAGTCAATAAAAACCAGCTTTAACATCCGGGCTCTCGTGGTAGTGGGTGTCGTGGTTTGACACTGGCCAAACGCCAGGCACCTACAAAAGCTGTTCCTTCAGGAAAAAAAATTAACAAAGGGTTTATGGGCTGAGATGAGGAGTGGGAGAAAAACACTCTAAGGGCAAAACAGGTTAAAATTTAAAGGTATGAAGAAAATTTGTTATAAACAGAGTCAGAGAAGGATAACGAGAAATCAAAAAAGCTTTTAAAACGCTCTCTTTCCCCATCAGGCCCTTCCTCTTTCCTGTGAACGGCTAATGCAGGGACTCAGATCCTTGGGGATACTGAGACATTTGTTGTGAGAAACGAGCTGGTTTTACACGCCTCTTCAAGACACGGTATTTCCTTGTGGGGTGTTTCTTCACCGAGCAGCTTCCCACACACGGCCACATGTGTAACTTTGCCCTAAAAAATCTTTTTCCTGTTTCTCTGATTTTGCTGTATTTCTTCTGTATTCTTCTTTCTCTTCCTGGATTTCTCAATCTCCTTTGGACTCAATTCTTTTGGGATCCTCCCTCGCGGGGAGCCCTGCTTATCTCAGTTCTTATGATTTGAAGAAAACTCCCGAGCTCATTAGAATCTTGTTTCTCATGTTTATTAAAAGGTCATCACAAAATTTGACAGGTTTTTCCAGACTGGCTGCACAAGTTTAAATCACTGTAATCTGGTACACTTCTTTCTTCTGATGGTACAAACAAGGCCTTGTGGCTCACTTTGGCTTTGAAAGCACAAAATGGCCTTGAACTACAGAGTTCTTTTATCTTTATACCTATTTTTACCCAATTAACAATAGACACGTATATTATTTTTCTTAATGACCCAATGACCCATCACCTCTGTGCTGCACTGCGGCATTTTCTGACCAATCACTCACTATCACCCAAAAACCTCCAGGAGAAGAAGATGAAGAAGAAAGAAGAAGGGACAAGAGACAACGCCCTAAATCCTCAATCTTGTCTCCTGTTCTTTAAACTAACGTTTTCACCCAGTGACTTAAGAAAACTTTCTAATCTACACACTCACACTTTTAGCTTTTTCTATCTAACTTTAACAGTTGTTCTCATGTATCACCATGAAAACATGCTCATGAATTTCATGTTATATGAAATTCAGTGTTCTTCTGGATCTTAGAACTAAGTATCAGAAACAAGGGCACACACTCTGTATCCCAGACTCCAACAACACGGCCACATGGCCAGCAGCACGCCTCAGTGTCCTTGTACGCGGGCAACCGCGTGCTGCTCGCTCGTCTGGCGGGCTCCTCTCCGGGATGCCTGTGGAGGCTGACCTGGAACAGAGTCTGGGCAGAGCTAAAGGAATAAAGTGGATATTTATCAAAAAGACCTTCAAAAAATACACCTCGGGCAGTGCAAGAGCCTGGCTGTGGCTCCACCCAAGGTGGACTCAAGATGGACCCAAGATGGATACAAGATCCACAACAAGATGGACAACCGGTCACGAGTTTCACATTTTTATAAGTTTTGGTCCATATCTCCATATTTGGGTAAATTGTCCAATTACATCTTCAGGTTGGGAAGTCCCCTACTCCCAGACTGCTCTCCTCAACTCGCTGCTGTTTACGCTTTTTTATGCTCCAGCCATCATCCCTAGGGTGTCTGACACATTTTTTCTCCCAAGGTCAGGCGGAGACAAGCGTCTCTGAGCCGCCATGGCGCTCTGCAGGCGTATCCCAACACCAAATTCCTTCTCCCTCTCCAGTTTCCCACTCCGGTTTTGGTCAGCTCGTTACTCGAGATCTCCTTCTGTTGGCTCAGGGAGAGGAAGATTTCTCTGCTATTCCATGGGATCCTTCCCACAGGAAAAACAGTTTTCCCAGAACTGCTGTAGCCTGGGTCACCAGCCCAAGGGTTTAAGGATAGGCTGCTCCAGTTTGGAAGCAAGGGCTCTTCCTCTCTGCCTCCGGAAGCTAAATAGGGTTTGGTTTCCTCCAGCTAAACAAACACACCACAAATATTCAGTTTCAGTTTCACCTGGCTTAGGGTCACGGCATTCTTGTGACTCAGCCGTCTGAATCGGATCCTACGGGGCTGTCTTTTGGGGTCCCACCCCGAGGTCCAGCGGTTGCCTCAGTTTTCGTAACGGGTCTGGCTTCATTCACAGATTTGTAAGTCTGTACTAGCTTCAACTTTTACTCACAGCTTTTTTTTTTCTCTCTCTCTGTTCCTCCTGTAGCTGCTTCCTCATCTGTTCTATTTGCAAAGACAACAAAAACTCATTTGCTTCCCCACTTCCACTTCAGTCTTCACACCTTGTTTCTCTTTGACACTTTTTGGTAGCAGTGAGCAGCTTCCAGACCAGAACATTTCACAAATAATTCCTTTATCTTTGTCGTCCTTTGAACGGCCTCTAGCACAGTTTGAATATTTTTCCACAGCTTCCTGGTCATGCCAATTATCCTGACGCCGAGAAACTGAGGCTTGGATTTATCCCGTGCCTTTGTGAGTAGTTAAGTGATATTTCTTGCCATCCTGAGGGCTACGCCAAATTGTCACGGACAGGTGTGTTCGAGATTGCTTAAAAAATCACTGGCAAAGGTATGAGAAAAAGTCAGATTTAATATTAACCAACAAAGCACAAGGGGTTCGTTGGCAAGATTCTCTCACAGCTAGGGCACAACAAGGGAAAGCAAAACCAAAATCAAAGAAAATGCAGACAATCAAAACAGAAATTAATTGGGAATTATCTGGGGGGAGTGTGTGTGTGTGTGTGTGTGTGTGTGTAAAGACAAGGATAAAAAGGGTTATGGTGGGCCTAAAAGCTTAACAACACTCAAATCTAACAGTACTTTAACTAAAGTTATACCTCAAGTCTAGTAATTTACCATAGGAAAACATTTAACTTAGACTCAACTTAAATTACAACTCAATTTATAGAATTATAAAATTCAATTATTTATTAAATAATATATAATTATACAATTGTATTACATTACATTATATATTATTTATAGTATATTATAGTATATTATAATTATACAATAATCATTAATATAATATATTATATATTATTATATAATATTATTATATAATATATAATTACATATTATATTATTATATATCATTAATATATAATTATATATAATTATATTATATAATCAATACATAATTATATATGATATATTATATATTAATATATAATATATATTATAGTATTAAATAATATTATAATATATAATTATACAATAATTATTATATATTATTATATTATGGTATATATTACATTAATTAAATATTATTAAATATTTATCATTATTAAATAAAAGTATGAAATAAATTTATTATACATTATATTGTATCATATCATATATTACATTGTCTTACATTGTATTATATTATATTATATTATATTATATTATATTATATTATATTATATTATATTATATTATATTATATTATATTATATTATATTATATTATATATTATATTATATTATATTATATTATATTATATTATATTATATTATATTATATTATATTATATTATTATATTACAAAACTCAATTATTTCTTAAAGTTAACAACCCCACAGAGCAATAACACTCAACATTTAACCTAAATTATAACTATAACTTTGACGTCAAATTTAGCAACTTAACAAAAGCACACCCTAGCAACAATTAGTTAATGTTTAACCACTTACCAGAAGACCAACACTTAGTAGCTTTTAAGTAACTATAACTATAGTTATATAACTATAACCTATAACTTAACCTTACAGACCTAGCTTACTTAGATATCTGAGGGTATTAAACATCTGTGAAAGCCTTCTATAGATGATATATTTCTATTTGTATATTATACATAAATATGTGTATATTATATGCATAATATTTTATATTATCTATCCACAGAATATATTAATTTAATTCTTATTTAATTAAATATTAACAACTTAATATTAACAATTAAATAATAAAAATTAGTCATTTACTATTAACAATTTCATTTAATTAAATATTAGATTAACTAGTCCATTAATTAAATAAAAGTTAAATAATAAGGTTATTATTTATTTATTTATTTATTTGGCCAAACTAATACCACAAAAGAACGTTTCTACTTTCATACCAATACTTAATTATTTTGTTTTATACTTCTTTGCCATACTGCAGACTTTTTTAGACAATCATATAGTGACACACAAAACTATTTATTCTGCTTTAAACTTCTCACTGCCTTTGTAACTACTTCTGTAGCTTAACTTTAAAACTTTACACTGCTTACCTTAATGTCTTTCCACCGGTGAACTCCAATTCTTGCTTACAGCTTTAAACCTGCAAGCCTTTTCCAAGGTCTCAGGTTGAACCCTGTGTCCACGCCTATGCTGGAGTTTGTGTACTCAAGATACTGAGATTTCAGCTCTTGAAATTCCAAAAACTGTGGTTTTGGGACAGCTCAGAAGGGTCTCATTTTGGACTGCAAGAGAGCAGGCTTCAGGCATGAGAGTGTTTCACCTGGCCAGAGTCTGGGTCGGCATTTTCTCTGAAAGTGTGAGAACAGGGATGCTTTGCCATTCAGGCCAGAGGAATATTTCCAAGGCGGGTCCTAAGAAAAGCAGGAGCTTGTTAGCAGCCCCTGGGAGCAGAGAGTGTTTCTGACAAGCTCAGGAAGAGCTGAGCCTAGGTGCTGTTTCCAGGGCCTAAGAGGCATTTTCTGAGCTCACACTGCAGCCTGGAAAGGAGGGAAGTGGGGGAACGCACCACCACAGTCACTGCACTTTTATCACTGCTGAAGCAAACTGATAGATGATGTAACAGGAGAGAAAGTTATGGAGGATGAATTTCTGCATAAATTCATCCCCGAGAGTGGTGCTGTGCTCCCCCTGCTCCTTTTCCTGATGGAGCACCAGCCCCAGGAAGGGCTGAGAGCCTCACCTGCCCTCCAGGTACCAGCACAGCAGTCAAAAGGTCTGTGCAAAGAGCTGAGAGTTCTCTGAGAAGCAGCTCAAACCACGGCTGGTGCGGAAATCGGGCTCGAACTCAAATAATCGGACTCCAAAAGAGTGGTTTCGTTTTCACACTTGTCAGAAGCCTGATTTCCTGGAATTGCCCCACTGACTCCAGAAGAGGAAGCCGCACCCACCGGAGAGCCGGGGCTCCTTAAAGTGGGGCTGGGTTCGGCTTCTGGCATCCCGGGAGCTGCGGGGCTCGGAGGGAGAAGGAGAGAAGGTAGGGCCCTGGGGAGGAGCTGTGCGGCCGGGAGCAGCGGGGAGCGGGATCTTGTTGCTCTCGTGGCTCCTGTTGAGAAGGTAGGGCCCTGGGGAGGAGCTGTGCGGCCGGGAGCAGCGGGGAGCGGGATCTTGTTGCTCTCGTGGCTCCTGTTGCGGTGTTTTGGCACGGCCGGGGAGATGGCAGGGCAGGGGAAGAGCGCTGGGAGGGCAGCGGGCGGGCGGTGTCCGCTCCTCCGGGGGCTGCAGGAAGCCGCCGCTGCTGCAGCCGCTTTGGGGGGCTCGGGGGAGCCGTGTGCGCTGCGGGGCTGAGCTGCGAGGGGGCCGGGCTCAGAGGTGGCGCCGGATGGCTGCTGTGCCCCCCGGAGGGCAGGAGCCGTGGCACTGATGCCGGGGGCAGTGCTGGCCCCGAGCCGCTCCTTCGGCCGCTGGGCAGCTCCGTGGGGATGAGCGGCAGGCACGGCTCCTCCTGCCCTGTCCCCAAGCGCAGGGGCTCAGTTCTTCCTTTTGCTCCCCATGCAGGCCGGGTGGCATTCTCCTCTCTTCCAGTCGGAGCGTCACCGCGCAGAGCGCTCTGGGCTCTGGGCCAGCCCCACCAAGGGAGCGCTGTTCCCAGAGCCCCTTTCTTTCCCTGGGACACGGCTGGGGAAAACACTCTCGGGGGCTGTGCTGTGAAACGGCTGCACGCATTCCCATGGCCGCTCCTGCTGCCAGCCTTGCTGCTTCCCTCGTTTGCTTCCAAGGAGGAGCTCGATCCCGAGTTCTGTCCTGAATGTGCTCAGTGCCTCTCTGTGGGCACGGACACAGTCGCATGGGCCTTTTTCCTATTCCTGCAGCAATGGGAAACCGTGCAGGGACTGCCAAGGGTGCCTGGGGGCGGCTTCAGGGCTGGAGTTATTGTTGTCCAGGGCAGCCTCTGGCTCCTGAGACTGAACCAGCGCTGGCAGCGCTCTGGTGGGAGAGAATTTGGGAGGGGACAGGGCTGGGACAAGTGGCCCGAGTGGACGAGCTTCAGCAGTGACCCTGAGGCAGCATCTCCCTTCCTATTCCCCTGGCTCTGCCCCCTCCACAGCTTGTGTGCTGCCTGAGAGCACAGATGTTCCCTGGACAGCCTCTCACCCAGCAGCGCCCACCAGTCCTTCTCCAGGGCTGCTCTCAATCCATTCTCTTCCCAGCTTGTGTCTGTGCCTGGAATTGCCTGCACCCAGGGGCAGCACCTGCACTTGGCCTTGTTGAGCTTCAGGGGCTTTGCTCCAGCTTCCTTCTGGTGGGGGAGCATGGATGTAGGTCCCAGGTGAAAGCCTGCTCTGCTCACCTCCCCACAAGAGCCCTGAGGAGTCTTTGCTCCCTGGGCAGTGTCCAGTGGAGGAGAAGGGTTGGCCTCCAGTGCTCCCTGGAATGAATCCTGTGTGCTCATGGCTTGCCTTCTCCTGACTGTCTGCTCTTCTCCTCTAGGATTTCAGGCCTTTCCTTCCTGATTCCTCCTGCGTTCTCCAGGGCTTCCCATCACCTTCTCCACACCCCACCGTGTGCCCCAGGCGTGCCGCTGTGCTGTGCTGTGTCCCCTGAGCTGGGGCCCTCGGCTGCCGGTGTCTGCTGGGAAGCCAAGGCTGGGAGCAAGGGGAGCATCTGCTGAGAGGTGGGTGAGGGGAATCAGAGCCCACAGGCCTTGCACAGATTGCCCAAATCGGCAGGAACTCCCCAGGGAAAGCTGCCCCTGAAGGCTCTGGAAGGCTGCAGGGGCCCTTGGATCTATCCCTGAGTCCAAGCCCCTGAGATCGATACCTGTTCTGGTAAGGGAATTGTGGCCTTGGTGGGACAGAAGCTGAATGGTCAGAAGAGTTTTTTGCAGTGAATAAATCTCTCCAGTATCCAAGTGAACTGAGACTGGGAGTGTTTTCAGGATTGTGCAACAGTGTCAAAAACACCAAAGGCTGAAAGGCAGGTATCCAATGAAAGGGCCAGGTCAGTTAGGGTGAGAATCATGGAATGATGGAATGGCCTGAGTTGGAAGGGACACACCAGGGTCCTGGGAGAAGCAGGATCAAAAGCTTTAATGAAAACCAAATTGCTCTGATTAACTGTCTGTCCATGACGAACTCCATGGGTTAATGTGCAGTGAGTAATGAGTAAGTGAATGAGTGAGTAATGTGCAGTGAGTGAGTGAATAGTGAGCAATGAGTAAGTATGTGGTGCCCTGGGGGGGAGCATGTGAGGACTGCTTCTCATTACTGGGTGCAGCAGGCTGGGCCAGGCAGTGGAAATTTAGGGTGAGGAGCAAAACTTTCCCTCCTGAGTCCGTAGTGGTAGTTACTCATGACTGCCTGGTCCTTTGGGCAGTTTTCTATCAAAAGTGACCAACAGTGATGGACCTGGTTTAAGAGACAGGTGTCTTCCGAGGAAGGCAGAGACCACCCTGGAATAGAGAATATGACCCTCTGCTCTCCATATTATTTTAACTTTGAATTTATGGGGCTTTCAAGCAAAGCTAGGGGAAAGGGAACAACAGGAATTTCCTAGAGTGTATCTGTATACATCAAGGGCAGCAAACAACAGCAACAACCAAAAGCAGAAGGGCAAAGCCAGCCTTATGTCCCTGCCGAGCCCGTGCCGCTGGGCTGCAGTTCCGGGTACGGCCGGCAGGGGCGCTGGTGGCTCCCGGCCGGGCCGGGCGGGTGCGATGATTCCCCCGCGGCTGCACCCGCTGCTCCGGCTGTTCTGCTACCCTTGGATTCGCCGGCCCGGGCCTGCAGCGGCACTGAGAGCGGCTGCTCCCCGCGGGC